ATTCAAATATGCTCTACATAGAGATATATAATCCATCCACACATAGAGTGAGAGAGGTATGGACAAATTAATTTATAGTGAGATATGGATTCTCACATGCTATACCAAAGATGTATAGACATTGATTAGATATATAATCCATCCAGAGAGGTATGGAAAAATTAATTTAGTAGTGAGATATGGATTCTCACATGCTATATCAAAGATGTATAGAGATTGATTATTAGTTAGACATATGGATTCTCACATCCTACATCGAAGACTCGTGGACATTAGTTATAGTAGCTAGACATGGGCTCCCACATGCTTTATATAAAGATATATGTAGGCACAGAGCAAGGTTCACATCCATACCGATTTTGAGATATTGGGTCCTAGCAGCTTTGAACACATAACCCTAGTAGTGCAGAATGATTGCTAAAGTATTCCCTCGACTTCTGATCGTTGCATTGGCTATTACTACAAGGCTTGCTCAAGGCACAGCGAGCCCTGAGGCTTCCAAAGCAGAGGTTTATCATTATTGCATGGATGTCATAAAAAAATCCCCCATACAAATCCCCAAGTCCAAAATGCATCGACGTACTTCTTAGAACTGACTTGGCTAGCATTTGTTCTGTCCTTAACGCTGACGAGGCGTCAATAAGCGTGGAGAGGTTTGTTACTCTCGGACGTCAGTTTGGAAAAAAAAAATTACATCCGGTGCCAAGTGCGGTAGTAAGTGTCCGACACCATTTCATTTTTATTAATTATATATAAGAGGCTTTTTATACTGCTATTATGTCATGCTTCCTATATTCTAAATTATAAGACGTTTTGTATTTCTAGATACATTGCTTTAACTATATATCTAGACATAGTATATATCTTAAATGCATAGCAAAAGTTGTGTATATAAACTAACCAGAATGTCTTACGATTTGGAATGGTGGGAGTATCATATATTAAGAAATATTTTTTTAAGTGATGTATCATATATATAAGAAATATGACATGGACATATGTTTGCAGCTTACACTAATCCATAGCTTCTGGGACCACCACACTGCCATGGACGGCACATATATGGGTGCTCCTGGGAAGACAGAGAAAGCTATATAATGGAATAAAAGTGTGCAATGTTTCGATGTAAATGTCATTCTGTAATGGCATGCGCATGGCCCCGTTGCTTTGAAAAAGGAAATCTTCGGATATGCTATATGTGCGTGTTTTTTTGCAACTGGTGTGAGATTTGTTGAATACCAACATGAAAAAGGTTAGCATTAAATGGACACCTTCTTTGGCTCCCAACACTACCTATTCTTTGCAACACATGAATTTCACAAAAAAATTATAAAAAAATTCATAGAAATCGATATGATTTTATAGAAAAGCCTAGGTTTTAGAAAAAAAAAATCATATTCCAGAGGAGGGCCTATACCTGACAGAATACGCAGAACATGCCCTGTAATCATTCACGGGACATGATCCTTCCAGCGGCTAGCAAATTAAACCAATGGAATAATAATTGCAAGTTTCATAGTTACTAGCTATTGAGGTAATGTCTTAATCCAACAACTTGACACCGCACAAAGAGAATAGACAACTCTAATTATGTCTTAAGAGTGATCTTAAGTGGTGAGTACAAGAACTCAGGGGTGTTTAGTTGATAGCCAAACTTTGTCACATTTCAACTTAGTCAAATTTGAATAAGTTGATACTTTGGTTGGCGATTAAATTCAGATAAGATTTTTTGGACTTCAAACTTTATAGATTAAGAGTCTGTTTAGATACCCAATGCTAATTGTAAGCTAGCTAAATTAGTCCTAGGCTCCTAGGGCTAATAGGGTTAATTTTTTTAGCTAAGCCTCCGACTAGTTATTAGTCAAGTAGCCAACTAGCTAGTCAACCTCTCAGCTAGGCCCCAACTAATAACTAGCCCTAGCCAATCCATTAAATATACCTTTAAAAAATACGACAAGATTCCCTTGAACATAATAAAATATAGCCCTAAAATTTATGATATTTTTAAGGTTTACCACACTTAATAACTAATGTTATTTGTGGCACAATACAACCGGAACCAAACGCCCTATCAATTTGAACTGCCTTGAGTCGTAGTCCGTTTGGCGCCACCCACAAATATCGAGTAAAATGCACTGGCGGTCCTCAAACTTGGTTGCGGGTGTCATATAGGTCCTCAAACTCCCAAAATGTCCACCTGACTACATGAACTTGGCTCTGGCTACGACGCATGTCCAAACGGGCTCAGTCCTAACCTGTTTGCCAACGTGGCCTTCCACGCTGGCCACGAGCTAGTTCCCGCAGGTTATTTTACTGAGGAAAAGGCTCACATGTTCCTCTCCTCTTTCTTCTCCCCATGCTCGTGCTTAGCTTGCTGGCAGTGGTGACTGGAACCCTAATTCCCATTCCTTTCCCCTTTCTTGGTGGTGGCGGTGGCGGGTTCTTGCTAGCGGTGACTTGAACCGCATATCCAAGGTCATCAATGAATTATTGGAGCAGCAGCTCATCTAGGCCAAGCCAAAGGAATGGAATGACCTCCCTCTTGCTCCTTGTCGCGACTATAAGTGCTGGGTGGTGAAGAAATTTAAGGCAAAGACGAAGGAGAAGTACGGTCACTACTTCTACGTCTGCCCTAGTACGGTCACTACTTCTACGTCTGCCCTAGTCCCACTGTGAGTACAATGGGAGTTTGGTTCTTTCATTCTGTTGCTCAGTTTTCTTAATCCCCCTTGCAATTACTTGCATAGAGATGGTGATGGTTGCTCCTTTTGGTATGGGGAAGAAGATTACGAGAAATATTTGATAGACAACAAGTTAGTTCCTCCCTCCTATGTTCCAGTGTTCAACAAAAATGTTAGTCAGGAGAAGAAAGATGAGGTTGCATAGCTAGTTGCATTGAAAAGTACATTTATAGAACAAGTTGAAGAAGATGGAGTTAAGAGGTTGGAAATGATGGTTGGAATTGGTAGGAAGATTGTAGTGTTGATGAAATACTTGGCTATTGTTTTAGTCCTGGTTTTACCCTCTGCCTTATAGTAATTACACCAATTCATCCTGATCATCATAAGAAAGACCAATTGTTTATACAACTGCATCCCTCTTCAACTTGCTTCCCGGTGCCTTCTTTGTCTTTGCTAACATCTGCCTTATAGCAGTTACATCATCTTCCACGTCTTCATCAACATGATCCACAAACAAGTCATCATCACCATCTTGAACTTCATAATCATTATCTAGGAACTCTGAATCTTCACTGTCATCAATGTTGGTGCTTCCACATTTTGTTCTGGTGTCCTCCAAGACTTGTATAAAAATTTGGTAGCTTCTCACCCTGTTGCTTCTCAATGGTAACAACCTTGACATCGTTTATCACCTTTGGTAGCTCACAGACTAGATTTGCAACAATATCATCCCAGTTCACACAAACAAAAGTGTCCTTATGGTCCAAATATACAACCAAAGCCTTAATCTTATCCACAACAGAGCACATTGCAATGGTGCCTCAATCCCCTACTATTATCTTGATCCTTCCCTAGTAGCAATCGATAATTATTCAGAAGTGGCGTCTTTGTGTAACCTAGTCAACAAAGTCATTGAGCCAAATCATGGACCAAGTATCAACTTCACAATTATCGAACCGACTAATCTTTCCATCCACATAACTCCTTAAGTGATCATACCCAACAAAAAAACCCATCATGGTGAAGCTCCACTATAAACTCTCCATGATTGTGACCTACACATGATTAGTGGACAAACACATAAAAGAGTAAATTTTTACACAATTTTGACATAAATTTTATGTACAGTACAAGTTCATGAGATTTCTTCAAATTTGTACGCAAATTCTATGTACACTTGTATGGTACAAGTTTATGAGAAAGATTATGCAAATTAATGTTATAATTCCTTCTTTCGTGCATTAAAAAAACATGAAAACTAAACTGATTCCATGAACCATGAATCATCTTTGACTAAAACCCTAACAAAACTCCAAAATTCCACCAGATAAAGGCCCAAAACATAATCCCTAAACCCTAGAGTTCATTCTGTGTATCCAGTATCAACCTACCACCAAATCAATAGCAAAGGAAGGCAAGATTACACATTTAGGGCTTGGAGAACCACCATAGTCGGTGCAAGGTCATAGTTTCTCCATAGCCGCGGAGCCATCGCCGACTGCCACCAACGCAACTCACTTGTCTAGCACCACCCGCCGCTGCCTTCACCTCCGTCCTTCTACTTCACCATGCTTGGCTCTAGTTCACGTCAATCTTCTATGGTGGTGGGAGGCACGAGAATGACGAAAAGGCGGAGTAGGTGAGCCTTTTCCCAGCAAAATAAACCATCGGAACTAGCTCGTGGCCAGCGTGGAAGGCCACGTCGGCAAACGAGTCAAGGTTGAGCCCGTTTGGGTGTGGACATGTGTCGTGGCCCGAGCTAAGTTATTGTAGTTAGGTGATCATTGAGAGTTTGGGATCCCCGCTCCGTCCCCTCTCCCACTAAAAAAAAGAGTTTGAGATTTTTATGCAGCCTGTTCGGTTGACTGGTTCGTTTCATTGCTGGTTCGTGAAGAAGTACTGCTGGCTGGTTTGTGTGAGAGAAAAATACTGTTGCGGCTAAGAATTTACGATCGTTTACGATAAGCCACGGCCAAACGAACAGCCTGATGACCCACACAGATTTAAAGACTGCCAATACATTTTACTCTAGGAATATGTGACTGTTGTAATTGGGTTGAATCTAGTCTAGACCCTAAAAATTAGGGTCGGACGGCAGAGATAAGCGAGAGTAGAGCGTGGTGTTGACCTGTAGGGAAAAGATACGAATCCGCGCCTGCAAGTTGCCACAAATCTGGTTGCAAGATTGGGCCCTCATTTCCAAGCTCCAAGCCTCGCCGCCGCCGCCGCCTCCGCGGGCGACTATGCCATTGTCAACCCTGCTCTCACTCTCCTCCGCCGCCGCCGCTCATCTCCGGCGACCCGCGAATCACCTTGCTTATGTTAAGGTCTCTCTCTTTGCTCCTACTCCACTCATCGCTCCACTCCAGGCCGACCCCATCTAGACTCCTCACTTCTGCCGCCTCCTCCGGTGCCCTAGGCGGCCGCGCGCATGGAACCGTCTCTGCCGTGCTGGAGATCGTCGGCCCCATCGAGCTTCTGTTCCCGGCCTTCGAGGCGCGCCTCTATGTGCGCCTCGTGCGGCGCTGCGCGCGCGGCGCGCTCGCCGCGGGCGCCGCCGCTGCCCACGCGCACATCGTCAAACGAGGATTTGCGTCCGACGTGCTCGTATCCAACGTCCTGCTGGATTCTTACGCCAAAGGAGTCTCTCTTGCAGCCGGGCGCCAGCTGTTCGACGAAATGCCGCACAGGGACGTCGTGTCCTGGTGTACCGTCATTTCCGCGCACGTCAGCCGCGGGATCTTCGTCGAGGCCATCGGATTATTCAAGGACCTATTGTCCTCTGATCAGGTGAAGCCAAATCGGTTTGTCATCTCAACAGTACTGAACGCCTGTGCCAAGTCGGGTGTCATGGAGCTTGGGCTCATGGTGCATGCATTGGTGGTCAAGTCTGGCCTGGGTGTCGACAGGTTTGTGGAAGTTGGATTAGTGGACATGTATGCAAAGTGTGGTAATATGGGTGATGCTTTTAGGCTGTTCAATAAGATTCCGATGAAGAGCTCTGTTGCTTGGAATGCAATGATTTATGGTTTTGTCGAGAACAGTTGTTTTGTGGAGGCTGCTGAGCTTTTCCAGGATATGCATAAAATTGGCATGGCAATGGATGTGGTGACATTGAGGGTAGTAGCCGGTGTTGCTGCTATTCTTGGATCATTTGATCTTTCTAGGAATATTCATGTTTATGCTCTTAAAATGGGCTTGGGAGTAGATTGTTTTGTTGTGTCTGAGCTCATCAAGTCAGCCGGGAGGGTAGGTGAAACTCAGTACATTGGAAAGCTTGTTGCTGCAGTTAGAAAGCGTGACGGATCTTTGTATTCTTTGGCTATTTCAAGCTATCACTCAAATGGTTGTCAGGATGAAGCAGTGAAACTTTCAGAAAAGTTTCTTTCTTCAGGTCTCAGCTTAAGGGAAGGAGACATGGTTACAGTGCTTGGCATATGTCAAATAGAAGAGGAGGTTCGACAAATGCATGCTTTTACTCTGAAAACCGGAGGCTTCTGTTATACTAATGTATGCAATGCCCTTATGTCAGTATATTCTGAACTTGGATCACTGATGTGTGCGGAATCAATCTTCAAAACTATGCAATCACCAGATGTCGTATCATGGTCTGGAGTGATGGCAGGCTGTATCAAGAACCTCCAATTTGAGAGAGCGTGCAGTTACTTTAGGCAGTTAAGCAACACTGGAGCACCGCTAGATCAGCATTGTGTTGTTACCGTCATAAATGCATGTACTGGTCTTCAGGACTTGGATAAGGGGAGGCAGATACACTCATTTGCTCTTAGACTTGGGCTACTGCTTGCTGATTTCGTCAGTGCATCCCTAGTAAACATGTATGCAAAATGCCATTGCATTGAGGGTGCTGCTGAGTTATTCACCCATGCATTGTTTCCACGGAATTTAGTTGTAACTAATGCCATGCTCTCTGGATATTGCTGGAATTTCCTGCCAGATAAAGCTCTGCTGCTATTTTGCAGGGAATATCAGTTTGGTCTGTGTCCTGATCGATTCACTTTCTCAACTGTTCTTGGTGCATGTGCTGATATAAGAGCAAAGCAGGCTGGCGAGCAGATCCATGGCTACCTTGTAAAGATTGGTTCTGAAAATCTGGATGTCATTGTTGGAAATGCTATCATAGACCTTTATGTTAAGTGTGGATGCATTTCTAGTGCCTGTAGATTCTTTCATAGCATGAAGAGTAGGAACATCAATTCATATGCCATGTTAATGTTGGGTTATATTCAGAACAGATGCAGTGATGAAGCTCTTCATCTTTTCTCTAAGATGCAGCACAGTGGACTGCGTGCAAACCGTGTCACCTTTGCAAGAATCTTACGGGGATGTGGCGATCTTTGTGCTATTGATTTAGGAAGACAACTGCATGCTTCCATCATAAAGATGGGTCTGCTTTCTGATGTATATGTCACAAATGCACTTGTGGGAATGTACAAAGCATCTGACATTCAGACTGAATCAAGAAGAAACTCTGAAGAAACATTGGCAGGAAATGTTTCAGAACAGGATACCACAGATAGTTTCAGTTCAGAACAAAGCTATGTGAGCAGCACTCTTGAAGAACTTGGACTGTTCACATTGGATGAAGAGAATGACCATGTAACTTCTGCCAATGCGTGGAAGATCTGCACTGGTTCTGCTTCTCAATTCTATGGAACTCCACTTCCCATTCATGTGGATGGACATGAATTTGGAACCAATAACAACATAGGGAATGTAAACAATGTCAAGTACAATGGGAATAAGCTTTCGCTAAATTACAAAAATTCCAGCTACAAGGGAAATATAAATGGATCTGTTAAGTTATGTAACTTGTTGCAAGAGGACAGCACCAAATCTGATCACTTTGTCCTCATTATTTTTGTTGATAGTAGGAATTTAAAGATGAGGGATGCAAGATTTATTAATGTGGAACCGCTGAAAAGATATGGTGATGTCCCTGCACTTGGTTTTCCTCCTTGACAAACTATAGTGCAGTATCAAAACTATGAAGTGGACATGTTATTCTTCATTCGGCAAAACTGAACTGCCATGTTAACCTATTGGCATGCATGGACAACCAACTATGACCATAGATCAGAGTCCATGCATCAGCAACTTCTCAGATCGACTCAAGTGTTATGAGGTTCACATGGTGCTGGATGGCTCAATTGCATGGAAAAATAGATCAGAACAATAATCAGTTGGTATGATACAAGTGGCTAGCCCTTGACCTTTTTTTTGTTGAACTTGTTTGTTTTCAACTTTCAGTATTGGTGAACAAGTAATTATTTTCGGACAATTTCTTTGGTGCAGGATACACGTTACTCAAACCTTTTGAAGTGGGTGAAATTGGATTGGAAAAATCAGCTTCAGCTTCGAACATTGACGTGAGTTAAGGTTCATGAAGTTTGCTGGGACAAAGTTTGACTGTGTTTCCGCATAGCTTTTGCCTATATCTCTTTTGCTGCTATTCCCTCTTGTACTGTATAAGTTCTCTTTTAGTCTATTCCAGTTGTAATATGCGTTAGTCATAAAAACATGTTGTTCAGGACAAGATTTGGTCAAACCTCAAAAAGTACATACATCAATAGTTTTAAAATTGTTTAGTTTGGAAACATGTAAGATATATGTGTAGATTTGTATTGGAAAATACTTGCAAAATCTCATAAATTTGAAGGGTTCTTAAGAATACTTTCTAGAAGATATTAGTGATCAAAGATATTTTTTTAGACATGCATAGAAGATCGTGCATAGTCAAATGTGACAAGTACTTTTCACCGAATGGTAGTATCAATATATCATGTAATGCGAAAAGTAGTTGACTCATGCAGTTACTTTGCATCATTTGCTAATATCCATTAGCCCTGTTCATGGTTTGCTTACAACCTGGGCAACCTGCCAAACCAACCCAGCTAAACTGTTCTTAACAGGTTGTGCAGGCTAGCAATTTTTAACCAGTAAAACCGGTCAGGTAGAAGTGAGAGCAGGAACTCACGATGTGCTTCAGTCTAGGAATGGAGGAGAGCGGGGCTACGGCGGCTTCGGAGGTGAGCTGGGAGATGCTTGACAAGTCATGATTCTTCGTCCTAGGCTCAGCACTCTTCTCGTATGTGTTCGTGGTGCCCGGTGGCCTGGCCGTGGTGATGAAGAAACAGCTGGAGGTATGGTAGCGTCACTGCCACGATAGCCATGGCGACCGCCAAGCGCCGCTGCCATCCTCTGGCGAGATGGCCACATTATTTGGTTCCTCCGCATCGCCGTGTCTATTCTCATCGGCTACAGCTTCGCCATCACGACGTGGTGCATGTGCAGGAGTTGCTGGACATAGCAGCATTCGTCATCACCACCTCTTGTTCTCGCTGCGCTCCTCATGTGCCTCCTTCCTCAGACGCACCGAGCAACTCGTCATGCCGGAGAAGGCTGCCAGCGAGAGGCTGTTTGCAGGCTAGCGTGTGCAGGCTGCTGTCCTCAGATATGCGTTCATCTGCCACGTGGCCAAGATCATGCTGCCCGCTGCCGCTAGGACGGCCTCCTCAATCTCCGGTTTCAAACCGAAACCGCACAAACCGGCAAACCGACCTTCCTAAACCGTAATCATACGGTTTGGTTTGAGAAACTGCCTAAACCCATGTTAAACCCCCGTTGAATAGGCCTAATATCCAGCAACTTTGTTGGACTATCAAATCTTCAAATCATGTGAGTAGAAAAAAATCAAGTGAAAATTAGCTTAAGAACACTGTCTTAGTCAACATTTCCTATATGGCTTCTTTTTGGTTGTGGTTCATTCATCAACACTGAGACATGGTTTTGACACTCCAACGCTATATGTGTCATTGCTTTTGTTTTGCACTTGTCAAGGTGTGGGTTTGATAGCTGATAATCAACAGTATTGTGTATTCCAACTAAGGCCTACTAGTTCCTGTGTAGGTTCAATGTATAGTAAAATGGAAAAAGGGCGTACCCAGTGCAGAGAGCTCCCGCTCTGTGCAGGCCAATAATTTGTATTCTGAAGAAGTATAGCCAGAAAATCTGTTTCCTTCTTGGAATTTCTTCTCGCTATTCCAATTCTAGGTTCTGACTTCTGGTTGTTCAAGCCTGACATCATATACTTCGCATGACTGGTGTATCCATTTGTACTTAGCTCATCTTTGTTTCATTTCGATAGGTACTGGCATTAAACTTTCGTGAAATGAATATTACAGAAGGAGCAAGATTGAAGAACGATGTGCATTTTGATCGCATCATTCATAGCTATCATCTGCAAATTCAACAACTTCAATGTATGTTTGTCCACTCCCCTACATCTGTATTTCTTTTCTAACTTATCTTTTGTCCGAATTTTGTGTTCTTCCTGGAAGTTCAACTACAGTTGGTATCAGGAAGCTGATCTTGGTATAGTACTAGTATGACGGTCTCAACCACCATATGATTACTGATGCCTTGCTTCTGCCAACTATGCTGTGCCTATTTGATGGTACTAGATGCCTGAAGTTATGTAAACCGAAAGGATACAGCATTGCAGCTTGAAACTATACTTGTTGAACTTTTTTTTTATCATCTTGCACTGTGTCTCATGCAGATAGAACAACATTTTCCTTAAATAAAGGATCTTATGTTAACACACTTTGCTTGTTCATCAGGGCCTGAAAGAAGAATAGAAGATACCCACAGCGCCATTCGGTGAAATACCACTACCATTGAAGTGCACGAGTCTGAATCAAGAAACTTCGAGGCTTTTTTGCTTTTACATAACCTAGCTGCCATGCACCTTATTTTTTGGTTGGTGCACCTGGATTATACTGTACTACTAACTTGAGGCTGTAAGCTGTCCATAGAGAGAATTAGCTTTAGGTATACTGTTACTTGTACTGGTGCTGTATATGCTGGATTCAGATGCTGTGCTTGAAACTGTTATCATTCACCAGACCTACTGACTCAGGTGAATTTTGTCTCATTGGAAAGTTGGACATATATGTACAAGTGATGTCTTCTGAAATATTTGTTTGTACTACTTTTATTTTGATGCTTATCTGTTCAATTCATCGCAGATATTTGTACGGATGTTGCTGCTGCTAAGAGAATATAGCAACTTAATCAAGATCAATACTACAACAGAAGCAGCCCCTTGAGGCGGGCATGCCTTTGAATGTTTTGCCCCCACATCTCTTAATAGGAATCCTGCCTCCAAAAGAAAGGATTCTAATAGGGCCACGTCACCTCATCGTCTCTCGGCCGTCCGATCCGATAGGCACGTTTCCTCGGCCGTTGAATCGGCTGGCTCCCTCCGGCCGAGAAGAGGCCAACCTCGGGTGCGCCGGGCGCCTCGCCCTTCCATGGCCGGGCGGCAGCTTGGTGGGTGAGATGCGAACGGGCGTCCCCGTTGTCGGCAGCGCCAGCAGCATTCCAGGTGGCATAGGTGGGCGTGCGTTCTCGGTCTTGGCCGGACCCGGTAGCTGGCAAGCCCGGCGTCCCGGGTTTTGCGTCTTTGGACCTAGCGGCACCCGGCGTGGTTTCGACCTCGACCACGCGGCGGCGCAGCAGGCCTCGTGACGCCACGTCGGCGATAAGCTGTCGTCGTCGCCGCCGCCGCACCGTGCTATCTCCATCCGGCGCTCGCCGCTCGCGGCACCGATCCGCATGGATCCCGCTGCGGCGATGGGGAAAAAAACAGTGCCGGCGGCTCAAACGGGGCATCTACAGCCTCCATGCCTCCTGCTCCCATGTGCTTGTTGCCGCCGGACATCGAATTCGGTGCCTCCATGAAAGCTGCAGTGAATGTGTTCGATAAAATGAGCACAAGGTATCTTTTTCTTTTTTTCCTCCTTTTTCCTTCACGGATCCCATCTAAAGATATGATTTGGTGTGGCCACGGCGCGGCCTCAGGGTGGCCACGTCGCCGGTTTTTCGCGGCCGTTCGATCGGCCGAGCGGACGGCCCAGATCAGGCGAGCATGGTCGCTTTTCTGAAAAACCCCTTTAAGTTTTGAAATCAACCCCGCGCTCAGACGTCCTCTCGAAATTTTTACAAAAACACCTCGTGTTATTTCCAAATCAACGCTTCGGTCTAGACCGGATGGGCCTTTGGTTTGTTTGCAAAAAAGACCTCCACTTTATCGAAAATCAACTCGCGCTCCCGGACACTCTCACCGCTTTTTTGCGAAAACATCCTCGATTTTTCTCAAATCAAAATACTGAGCCCAACTTTGATTATATCTTTTTTCCTCCAAAAATCGTGTGGCGGTGGACGCGCGCGTATGGGCGCTTAGAAAAACTAGTCTCTATTGTTATACAAGCGTCGTCGCCGCCATGCATGCGACTCTGCTTACCGAGATGGCTAGCACTCTCACCACGTCAATATAAAAGTTCTTTGTCGGCCAAGGCCTCATGCTGCCCTGTGGTCCCGCTGCTCACATCTAGCCAGTGAAGGATTTAGTTCTTGGAACTATCTTGTAATTCTATTCCCCTGTTCTTGATGTTCTTGGGCCATCATCTCAACCATGTTCTTATTCTCTGTGTTAGTTCAATGGAATTGGATTGAATTACAACGGCATAATCAATTCAATACGAGGAGCGGTTACCGCACAAGTGAGAGAAGCTCGCGCCCTTCTTGCAGGTGCTCTTAATCTGGGGGACTGCAGCATGCTATTGATTCAAGGTGAGATAATTCCATTTCGTGCACTAACTTCCTTTTATCTCTGGACTTGCATTAAAATTATTTTATTCTCAATTTATTGGAATTGCTGTCATAGAGAAATTATTTACACTACAAATTACTTGCACTTAACTGGATTTGTTGCTACAGATTACCTGCATTTACTTTTAGTGTTGAATAAGTTACTAAATATTGTGTTCCAAGATTTATTTTGATAAATGCCCTGCAAATGCAACATGTGTTCTCATTAGCGATGATGAGTTCTTATATACTGCATTTCAACATCAGGATTCTGCTCTTATTGTGTTTGGAACACCTTATGTAGTTGC